GCAGCGTGATAGAGTGGCTTTGGTGGGCATCTGGCATCCAGCCAGGGTCAACCCACCACAGTCCTTTTTGGTGCCCAACAGAGACATGAAGAATTTGGAATAAGGGTAATAATCGGGAGAGGTAACAGGCAAAACGGACCGAACACAGCTAGAGAGTGAAAAGTGGAATGATTATGGGGAATTTCTGTTGTTGTAATTGTGGTGTTGTAAATGTGAGGAGAAAGGAGAGTAAATGTCTTGTGATAGGTAGAATGTGAAGCTGTAACTGAAAGGGTTGAAAATATTCCTTATTTGTTTATTGGCTGCCTCTAGCTATATATTTAAGATCAACCCTCTGGGTCCATCTGAATTGCAGGAATTCTGAAAGAAGTGGAAGAGGAGAGTTTCTGATACATGCTTTGCTTTCAACTCTGTTGCATCATAAACTGACTTCCATTTGGTTTCTGCTTGTGCCTATAATTTTCAGTGTGTTGCAAGAGACAAAGTATCTGGATGTCGTACTAAGGACAATGAACATGGTAACTGGTAAGTATGGTAGAAGTCAACTGTTGTGAGCATCTGAGATGAGATAAATATATTAAGTACAAAAGCTTCAAAACCAGAACAGGTGCCCCAAATATGACAAAATAGGGGGAAAGAGTGAAGTGGTCAGCAAATTCTAGAAGATGGAAACAGTTAAAGGCTCTTACCTTTCTGCACCATTGCTGCTATTGACTAGGAAACCTTCTGCTGTGTCAAGTGACCTACACTTGGCAAGGGACGTGGGGTGAAAGATATAAAGGTATATAAGGAAATAGAAATAAAGACTTCTTTGTGAAGTAACAGTTTTGTCTTAGCTTTGCATCTTCCAAGCTTGAAGAACCGTAGAGTCACAAAGAAGTCTGGGTTGGAAGGGTCCTCCGGAGATCATCTGGTCCAACCTCCTGTTGAATGCTAGGCTTAAAAGAAATGATTGTCTGCTGAGGTGCTGCTGTGTGAGATAAAGCAGTACTTGGGTGCCTCTAAAAATCTGGGATGTAGCAAAATGAATTTTCCTGTGCAAGGTTTTTTCTGACCTATGTCTGTATTAATCACCTGACTCATTTTTTTAACAATAGAAGTAGCCTTCTGGTTTTCCTTTTACTTTGTGCCCTATCAGAAGGTCAGAGGATGGTCATAAAGAGATGGAATGAACTTGAATAGCATTTAATACCTTCTCTTTTTAGAAAACTATTATAACCATGTACTTTTCTTACAATGCAAGTACAGTGGTAGCCTACTAATATATCTGAGTTTTCTGAAAGCCTGTCTAGAATATTTCTTCCACCAGTTAACGGTAGGACTCTAAGTGGATCATTGGGATGACATCTGTAAAAGAAAACCATTTTTGCTGTTTTTCACCAAAATTTTAATTGGATATGGTTCTGGGTAAGGCCATAGGACTGAAATTCTGGTTAATCACTTCATAGGATCCTTGTGATAGATATGTAAAGAAGAAAAAATGTATTTTACACTATCCATCATTCTTTGAGATAAAGTACACGTAAGGATACCTTAAGCCTCTTTTCCCCTTCCTAATAGCACAGGTTTTTCTCATCCATATTTTGTGCTACAAAGGAGCTGAGTGGCACTAGCTGAGGCCATTCTACACCTTTCATCATCAGGAGAGCAGCACAAGTGTGAACTGGATATCTATGGGTGTTCATGCATCTGTGCTTGATGTACTTTAATGGGTGTAACTAATGAAAAAATTTCCAATTCCTGCTAATGAGTACTTTTCAAGAGGGAGCAATTTTTAAAATGGCTTGTTTAGCATTTGGAAATTACTAGTGGTCTGTGATGACCAAGGCTAACCCAGTTGTCATTTGTTGAAGAAAACGTGAAATACAGTTGCAAAAGCAGTTGAAGTGAATTTAAGACTGACAGATTTCAAATGTCAGAGGCCCAAGTCTTCGGCTCCTTCTGAGGGTAAAACAGCAATGTCTCTTTACATTCCACTAAATCTGTCCCAATGATACATTGAAATCAACAACGTGATGAGCCCTCAGACTTATAAATTGATCAGTAGATTGTCAGCTGTCCTCTCTATAAGCTAAAGTCAGAATCTAAAATAAGCCTAGTGTTGTTTTTACATGAAGGTTTTAATAATGGACATAAATATTATGTGTATGGCAAGGAAGGCTGGGAGCTCCTGAACCCTACCAGAATACATACTGGTAAGCCTTGATAGTTTGTTACTTGATTTACTTGAGTCCTTTCCTTGCTTTTTCCCAATTCATGAATAATATCTGTGCATGGATAATAAATAATCTGCTGAGTAACAGCTATAGCAATGCACGTTGCCTGTTGTGCCCCTTCCCCTCCTGTTGCACTATCCAGTGATTGTTTTCTTGGCTCATATGCTCTCAAGCCAAACAGAAATTTTGCACAGCACAGCATAATTCCTCCTTTATGTACTTTTCACCTAGCTTTTCCTCTGCTGAGGGAAAATAAATCAACGGCCATCTTCTGTATCTGTGCTGTGGAGCTTGCAGGGCAGACCTAATCGTACTTGCTGCTGGGCCAGTGTTGGGGCTTCTGCTTTCCTCCCCTAGCAGCCATCATTAATGCCAATTGATGTGTACCCCTTCCCTGTTGCTAGGTGATATGTGCCTTATAAAAACAGCTTCTATTGCCGCTCAGGGATTCTCACAAATCTTGTTTGCTCTTGGTTCACATGATGTGCAGTGAGGTTTGCAGGATCAGAACACAACTCAAAGTTCAGGGCATTTCCTCCTGATGTTCATCTGACTGTAAATCACTTAAAGATCCCACAGTTTTCCTAACTAAAGGAAAAATACTATCCTGTTCTGGCAGCAGGCAATGACAAGGCTTCCACTTTGTCAGCTGGGTCTTGGACTTTGCCCCACACAATTTGTTGACCAGTGTCCTTCAGCATGGACTTGACTGCAGTATCCAAGTACTATGCTGCAAAACTGGTCTTTCACCAGCACTTGTTAGGTAAAGTGTTTTCTGAGACTGAGATAAACCCAAAGATTGGATTGGGACTCTTACTTTCAAAAGGTACAATCTCATTGTTTATAATCTGTTTAGATGTCCCTATCTCTTTGATATTTCAAGTTTGAGTGAGTAGAGAGACTAGATATTCTCAGGACTGTGGTCTTATTACTTTGGATTGAATTAGATTCTCCAGCCACAGGTTGAATAGTGTTGTGGTCTAGTAGTCTCATTAACTTTGCAGATGAATGGCAACTCAGGCTTTGTCCTAGCTATGAATTATTCTGATAAAAAGGATCCATTTGATTAGGGCTTTTTCCAAGTTCCTCTAAAGATATATGAAATGTAAGGTTATCTGGTTACTGGTTATTCAGCATAAAAGACTAAGACAAGACACAGGAGAAATAATAAATTAAACTCTCAGATACTCAAACCCTGAGGAAGAGGAGATAACAAGACAGTAACAAAGAGCAGAACTCTTAGATCACTGATTGATGGGACCTTAAAGGAACCACTCAGTGCCTTGAGGAGGTTCAGCCAGAGCTCTGTAACTGGTTATCATGGATCTCATGGGAAAGAGCAAATTTACAATGGGATATTTGAGAGGGCTTGTAGGATCACATAAAACTTATTATGGGATGTTTTAAGGGATGTGGGAAAGTGCTAAACTTATTTTGGGATGTTTAGGGGAGAACCAAAGTGTCAAAGGGAGGGATCAAGATAGATGGGGGGAGAACAAGCATGGGAAAATGAAGAAGAGGGGGAATGAAAGAGGTTGGCTGCATGCAGTCCAGCTGCTGTCAGTATTTTTTGTCAGGCTATGCCCTGTGCCTGATCATCACAGTGTCTTATCTTGTTAAACTCAATAACTGAATGTTTTTCTTATGTGAGTGTGCTCTCTATTCTGTGCGTGTGTGTGTGTGTGTGATCTGCTAGCAAGTTTCAAGCCAGGCTAGCTGGTGAGTAGTGCGAGTGGTCTGAGTGCCAGCCACTGGATTTAGAGACAGAGAGTCAAAGGGACCTGCAGCTCTGAGGGCTAGCAACTGGAGAGACAGATTGTCTGGATACCAGCTATTGAACAGACTGACCATCTAAGGGCTGCTGACAAAGGGACCCATTTGTGTGTGTGATTCTAATATGAATTTAAAGCTGGACTAACTGGTGAACAGGAGAAGAGGTGTGGGAGCCAGTTACCAGAGAGACCATAGGTTGGGACAAGGGAGGGACCAAGGGTCTGAGAGCCAGCTGCTGGAGAGACCACAGGTCTGGAACAGCTACTGGAGGGACTTGTTTGCTTGTGTTTTGGTGGGAGATCTGCTGGCCAGCTCTTGGTGTGATTAGCTTGTGAATGAGAACAGGATCAGCCCATTTGTATGTTTATGTCAGGCTTGTTGGTGTGTATGTGGAGACTGTAAAGGTGCTGCTCTCTTGTCTGTTGGTAGTCAACTGTAGCTGTATAGTGTGTGTACATATGTGTGGTGTGTTTTTTGGGGGATGCCTCACCCACCATTGGCTGGACATGGTGTCAAGATAATGCAGCATCTGAGGGCTGGAAGAAACAATCCTTCAGAACCTGTAGTCCACCAGATTTGGCTTCCCTGTAACAGGTGTGAAATCAGCTTCTCTTACTGAAAACAGTTTACTGAAAAATTGAAGGAAGCCTAAACACACAACATTCCACTTAGAAGGGAATGGTTTTCGTAAGAAATACGAAATGGAAATATGGGCTTATGTATATCTGGTAGCTGTAATGTCATTCACATTAACAGAAGAATGAGGACACCCACAGGGCAGATCTTATAGGACATTAAGGATGGCATTATCTCAGATATAAAACCCAAGATAATTGCATTACAATATGACATTGGCTAGAAGTTATTCCTTGGGGGTGGGGGGTGGGGTGGGGTGGGGGTGGTGTCCAAGAAGCTAGGTTTTATTTGTGGTAAATTCTTGGCAAGTCACCTTTCAGATTTATATCTAACATGACTCATAAACAACAGGAAAAGTGCTTTCTCTGCATTTTTCTTCATTTTCTTTATCTGCATGTGACACAAAGGGTACTGATGGTTTTGATACTGCTTCTGCTTGTTATTCACATCATAGACTTCTTTTTATTTGTGCCATGCTTCTTTATTCATACTATGCTGCTTTTAATTTTGCTTAAAATGCTTTCAATTGTACAGCCATTGTTCTGAAACTAGGTTTTACAGCCAACAGGACGTAAGTTGCACAGGAGTAAATAGAATTTATACTACACTGCCACTGAAGTGAACTACTACAACAGTCACTACAGTTATCATTGCCTTATACATCAAGGGTTTGTACAGAATAAATACATTATTCATAACATGACGACAGGTTTGCATTTCAGTTATATGTTTCCTCTTCATGACCTTTAGTTTTGAAAACACACTGCAAGTCTTTCAGATTCTGTCTTCACGATTTCGCTCCAGGATTAACATAACTGTTAGAATTCATATCCCTAAAAATATCAGACAAATAAAACAAAACCTGTTATAGTTAGGTAAGACAATGAGAAAGGAATGAAAGGAATCAAATTAAATAAGAAAGAATCTTTGCTTCTGATATATGAGTTATCTTTCCTGGCCTGAACTACTTTATGTATGTGTCAGATGCAAGTCAGGGGTAGTCAACTGAAACTTTGTTCCGTGACAAATGGGTATATTCAGATAAATCCGCAGATACACTAAGAAGGACTGTTATTAAAGAGCTGGTTTAAATTCTTCTTAGTAATGGGCAGGAAATATCTTTCCAATCTTGAAAAAATTTCTGAGATGTCGAAAAAAATTTTTCATATAAACTTGGAATGAAAATCTCAAACTTTGCTTCAGTAAAACAATCTGGGAAAAAAAAAAGGTTCAGATGAAAGAAAACCTGGTATTTTCAAAATGCTGCAATTCAGCTTGGATTTTTAAAATCTTTTTTTAACTCTAATTTGCATAAATTTAGAAAATGGAAGAGTAATTTTTAGGTAATTTTGTTTGGTCATTTTATAGTCCTGAATCTGGATATTTTAATGATTCTGTACCTTTTTCGTCAAACCTTTAAACTTTTCAAAATGAAATCTGATCTAAAAAAGTGTTTTCAAACCTAATCTTGTCATACGAACATTTTTGGCTTTGGCTATTTGTCATCTTCTCATTAGAAAAGATTTCATAAAAAGATTCTCTACTATAGTTCTTGTGGTGAGATTTTTGATTTGATGAACTGCAAATATTTCTTTTGGCACACTGGACTCGTATCGAAATGCATAGGGATATCCCTTGAGGAAATTTTGTATTTGATCACCACTAACCTATGCTTTAATATACATTTTTAACGGCTTGAACACTTGTGTAGTATTACCTGGTTCAGATTCCTGAATGTCTTGAGACAGATCGACAGATAGTGACTTCCCAAATCTCTGTGGCAAATTTAGAAGTGACTGACTGGCACTTTTAACAAGTGGAGATCTCCCAAGCCTGTGTGATACCTTTGGAGCATGTCTAGGTATGTTCTCTCCAAAAGCTCTCCCAAATCTCAGAGGCAAATTGGCAAATGGTTTAATGCTTCTTTCTTCTGGGTAATTTCTTCCAAACCTAAGAGGTAAATTAGCAATGGAATTTGGCATCTTGCTTAATGCAGGAGGGTTCATTTTAATTATATTTTTTGATCCCCAGTCTTTAATTTCTTCAAAATTGAGACTTCTCTGCTTTTCTTCCATGGTATTATCTTTAATCTAAAGAAAAAGAATTTAAAAAAGGACACTATAATTTTACAGGGCATTACTCCAGCTACCAATCACACAAAGTATTCACTTTCATGTCTCCTTAGAAAGCTGCTGGGTAATCTTTTTTTGGATATCTAATGCTTTTTTAACTATATTTGCTAAACTTCATTGTAATGTGAACTACTTCTCTGGTCTGGATGAACAGGAGGATGGGACAACCTACCTGAAGGTATACCTCATTTCTTCCTAAGCATTGGGTGAATGCTTTTGACCCAATATTCTGCCAGGCTAACAGCCAGGGAAACGAATGGCAAGCGTTTGGGTCAATTCCACATCGTGTCTGCTCTGGCCTTGCAGCATAGATTGCCCTGAGCTTTAAGTTGCTTTAGTCCTCCACTAGTACACATGATGCATTAGGAGCTTCTGGGGTCCTAATTTTTGTGCAACCAGCACAAAATCTACTTTCTATGACTATGCTAGCACACAATGCAGAACCGAGCCTAGTAGATTACCTGTGTCATGATGTAAAGGGCAGCTGTTGCCTGAAAAATAGCTATATCAGCATGACCCTTTCTTATATAGCAGTGTTCCTTCCCTGGGCAGATTGAAAATCAATTATTTTTGTGACAAAAATACATGTACAAGCTTTAACAGCAAATATGTGCAAATGTGTTTTTTAATTTGTTAAAGACACAATTTCTACTATTACTAATTTCAGTTCCTTGTCCCTGCTTGGTGACTTCCCTGGGAGCTTCTACTGTGAGAGAAGGGGAATGAACCATTCTAGCTCATACTCTCATGATTAAAACATCCCTCTGATGCACCTGAACAGCCTTTCTGAAGTATATAGAAGACAAGTGAGCTGAAGACCAGAGGATTTCACTAGCATAATTAAAGTTGTATTGTGGTTTGAAAGATCTTTATTACACCAATGATAATGAGTCAAAAGGAGAGGTTGGCTCTTATTTTCCAGGGAGTATTTGCAGGGCAGACAAGAAAAATAATACAGATGAACTGTGCAAACTTCTTTTGGCATCTATTGAGACATAATAAATGTGCAACCCTGCAAAGATATTTTTATAGTCAATTTCCAGAGTAGAATTTTAAGACCATTAGCTATATTAGATTTAAAATGTTCTCTGTTTATCATTATTCTTTGAGTATTACAAGCATACCTTTATTAATTTTGGATTAATAATGTATCTGTTATATTACGTGCATAAAATGCCTGACAGGAATGTTAATTGAGGCCCCACTGTGTAAATAAGAAACATTTCAGGAAAAGTCTTAACCTAATCGTAAGGCTGTATTGCAAGAAAATTGAAACATGAATTGATTTGCACAGTATGTGTGTCCGAGAAAATGGATTTCCTGAAAATTCTTTCAATGAGCTTTTTTCATACTGCTAGTGCTGTAAGGCTGAATACTGTGCAATGAGGTTAGAGCCTTTGCCAAAAAATTCAAAGCACTTAGGATCTGACCCACAGTCCCCTCAGATAATGTCATAGTAATACAGATCTTACCTTGTAATATTTATCGTCATCATCTTCTCTGCTCTGCAGACTGGACTTCATCGGTTCATCTAGGCACATACTATTTGATGTTAGAAAGACCGCTGTAATTAAAGCAAAGAGAATAAATTTAATGGTTGAAATGACTTCCATTTTTCTCAAATTAAGCTAACTTAGAGAGCTCAGAATCTGTACAGAAAAGAAAACTGTCATCATTTTATATGTTCAGAAAACAAAAAGATTTTGTTCCCTATGACATCAGTCTCAAAAGCTTCAATTCTTAATATTAATTAGGGAAGTAATTTGAATATATTTGAAGAATGTTGGGAATTTATTTTGTGAACCTTTTTAACCAACATAGCTTCTTGTTAGGGACACGCTGACTTTACAAATATTTTCTTCTGCTGAGATATGTCTTAATTAGCTAAATTTGAGAGCCGTAACCGTAACAGTCACAATGTTCCATCACCAGTAGACAAAGCCATCTTGTTTCTTTTGTATCAGTGTCCTCAGAAGGACTGTGAAGGGAAGGTTTCTTCATGTATGTAGTCTTCTTCTTAAATGATCTTTCTGGACCTGCTTGTTTAATGTTTGGTTTTAGTTATGTGCAACCAGGAACGTCCAATTGAAATCAAGGGCTGTCTATTGAAGTTGTTGATCAGGTCATAAGAGATGTTATGCATCAATGAGATCTATTGATGTACATAGCATCTATGCTCCAAACAGAACATGTTCATTTGCATTCAGACTGAATTGGGAACATGCTTTTAAGACCCTGCACATCAGTTAAGTTTTTAGAAATTTCAAAGGTTATATTACATCTATATTCTTAAGGCCAAATTTCCACCATCAGTTTTTGAAAAGGCATCTTCCACCTTGCTGCACCTGGTGAAAGCACAGGACTGCCCATGCATGTTCTGTCCCAAAGGGGATTTAGGGTGCACACTAAATGTGCCCTTAAAGTGCACGTTGATTTGATTGCTAGATAGGCTGGTGACCCAGGCTGCCATAAAAAACCCCCACCATATTCTGTTGTTTTTCTATTTGTTCTTTTTAAATTCTTGTAATGATTGCCTAAATCTCATATGGTAATACTTAAAATCAGCCACACAGAAGAAGATCTGTCTGCTCATGGTAAATACTCACATTGGAAAATTGGACTCTAGAGAAGTTATTTTACAATTCAGCACCAGGATTGTAAAATGTCAATTCCATTAGAGCACTGGCAAAGTTGTCCCAAGAGAACATGTTTTATGCTCTGGGCAGTATGGATAGTATGGACTGTTTATCTGTTGACAGTATATTACTGTGTTTACTGCCCTGTGAATCTGAAGGATTTGCAAGTAACCTCGTTGGAGATCAAGTTGGCTGGTTTTATGGGTTTAAAGTGTGCAGCATGCATGGAGTAATTTCTGCCCCAGATTCTCTGAAACTGAGATCCTGAAGGCCTTAAGCAGCTTTGTATTAGAGCTAAAAGATACTCAAACCTCCTCTCAGACTCATGAGAACCACAGGTTGTGTGTTGGAAAGTTCTCCGACATGACTGCTACTCTAACTTGACCAAGATAACAGGAAATGCTAAACCTATTGCCTAAATGGTTTACTAGAGCCACTTAAAGTGAAAAAAGAAGAAAAATAAATTCCAATAAATGATCTCCTTAGGAGAAATAACAACAACTTATTTCCCTCTCCACACTTTAGTCCTTATCCAATAGCAGGAGGAGCAGCAAGCCCCTGTTCTCCAGGCTTGGACCATCTTGCCCTCATTCCCCATAGATACATGGTTCCTGTCTCCACCAACTCCTATAATTACTGGGGATCATTGAGGATAGGAAGACAATCTGTTGGGGGTGTCTCCTTGAAGGTGAGAAAGGTAAGCCATGTTAGAGGGAATTTGAACCTTCTTGTGGGGAGGATGACATGAGGGCCTGGGGAGATGTTGCACAGTGCCTACTACCAGACTCTTACACTTTCTGGTGAACCCACTGGGGCTCAGACTAAGGGGTCAGCCAGATGAGAGTGCTGACCTGGGAGCCAGATGTAGAGATAACATCTGGAAGCACAGCTCTGTGAGGAGAGCTGAATAGAGTGTGCGGTGGGAGGGCAGTGTCTACCCATATAGCTTGTTACTGGTGCCTGAGGTGACCCTGCCTGGCACAGTGTGTGTGGGGATCCACCTCCCTTCCCAAGGGAGAGGGAAATCCCATTGACAGAGCTGGAAGTGAAAAAGGAACAGTTTCTCTCAGGTGAACGTCCCCAGATGGAAAGGAATGAGCAGAAAGATTCTGCTCATTTTTTTATGTGACAGACCATTAAATTGTTAAAATAGATGAGAATGGAATTAGTAAGCTAATTAGGAGACCCTGTGAGAAAAGAATGCATTTTAATCAGTCACTGGCTCTTGTGTGCTGATTTCCCTTGTTGTTGTACACATTATTTACATTAATTTCCTCTTCATTTCTTTGCTATGTGTAATCCTTCTGGCCCTGGCTGACAACAGAAAAGATTGGGTTCAAAGATCTGGTGCTTCCTTCAGAAAACTGCCAGAAAAAGTGACGTATGATGGGAATAAGCACAGTTCTGCATAGTCTCAAGGGGCAATGCTTCCCTTTTGCATTCTCTGAGACTGTCCTACAAGACATTGTTTTAGGGTGGGATGTGGTAGATGGGGAGGGAAAAGATACTGGAACAGTAATGATTCATGAAGAGTGGTTGTATGTACATACATAAACAAATATATGTAGGAAGTAAGAAAGCATCATCTGCCCTCAGAGTGCCTTGGTATTAGCCCTCCTCTCAGAGTAGGAGAGCTTTTTTTTTGAAAATACTAAATATTCTTGGCCAGGAGACAGAGTTTTGGGGATGCCAAAATTTTGGTATTTGCATATCTGGGCCAAATTATTTGGAAAACAGAGGGAATAAAAGAAGGATGTCAGTGAAGATCTCTAAAAGAAGCCCATGTCCTCTTAGTGCTCTGGCAGGTCAGGGGCAGCAATTTTCTCTTTTCACCAAGGTCTGAGTATGGGTTCCTGACTCTCTGGAGCCTCATGTCAGGGGGCTTCCATCTGTGGAAACAGATGGATTTTCCAAGTTCCTTTTCTTTACGGTAACAGTAAAGATAATAATGAATGCCATTCATGTGCTAATATCTATCTAACATGTGGTCATTTACCAATGGGTTTTCATTTTATCTAGCTGCTGGTTTATGAACCTCTCTTAATCAATGGTCTTTCAATTAACTGTGTGAAGATATTTGCTTTCTAAATTAAATGGATTTGGCAACATCCAAAAACTCTCCTGCATTGTTTGGCACAAATACAAATTCTGTTTTCCCTAGACAGAATAGGAAAATGTATTGCTGTTGTCTAAGTTGTGTCAGGCTTTCTTACATTCAGTTTGTCTCCTATGTATGTTGATTTTCTAATCAACATAAAGTGAAGTTTTCAGGTGTTTTTCATGCCAGGCAGTCAGAGGGTTGTATGTCCCTGTGCTTTCTTATGGATTAATTTACCTTTGATGGCTCTGCAGCAGGAACTCTGCAAATTTCAAGTCAAGCACTTACAGTGATTGTTCATTATCCTTCCTGAGGAAGGACTTGTCAGACCCTAGCGTTCAAGTACCAAAATGGTTAGTATGAGCACTCTTCATCACTGTGACTGCAAATTCTGCTGTGTTTAGACCACCTTCACTAAGAGCATAAGCTGCCCCAGTGTATTCAAACTGAGGCAGCTGAGGTATCCTGGCATGATCTATTAAAATTATTTATTTGCAGAGGGAAGACACATTTGTTGGGTCCAGCAAACAGTGTTGGGGAAAATGGCTGTCTGTTCTTGAATTGTTCCAGCCTGATCCACAAAGGATCTGATTAAGGCATATTTAGGGGAGCAGGCTCTGAGTATTGTTGAAAAATACTTCTGAGTTCTTAGCCTCTTGTCCCACACTTGTTTTGTCTTGCTATCTTACATCACTCATCAGCCAAGCTATTCAGAGGACTTGACCATAACTGTAATCTGTTTTGAAAATTCCCCAGTTAAACAGAAGCGAGCCCTTCCATCTTCATGTGAAACAAGCCTCACAGGCAGGGACAATTTTTAAAGTTTTCCTACAGGTGCATGCTACAAACCAGAACAATGTAGTGCTTACTTCTTCTTTTCCTCTTCATTTAGTGTAGGTAGGCACAAGAAAGAACACATTTTGGCTTAGTGGATCTGGGATGAGTTACTGCAGTGACTTGATGTATATCTACTTTAAACATTTAACATTAAAATGTAATTAGTAGTAATGGCAAGAGTAGCTCAATTTCATAAGCAACTCAGTGCAGAGTAAGTTATTTGATTCCAGTGAAAGAATAAGTTTTAATATTACTCTTTCTTTATATAAGAATATACTGATAAATCCTTATCCATTATTAACAACATATTGTGTGAAAATTGCATGTTATATGACTCATGCCACTAATAAGCATCTGCGTATTTCTATAATGATAAATCATTCACAATATATTCATTTTGCTATTACGTATTATATGACCTATTCTATGGCTCATTTTGAAGTAAGAAGATTTAAAAATGTGTAATTTTTTTTGTTGGCATGCAATTCTGTCCATTTTTCACCCATTTCTATGGCATGTAGTGAGTTGTGCTGGCTTTGATGTGTTGTGCTTCAGTTCTGGCGCACAATCCAAGGTGTATTTGCCCAGAATATATATGACTCTAAGCAGATAGTCATACCTCAACTACACTCAGTATCTCAATATTATATCATAGAATCATAAGATGATTTTGGTTGGAAGGGACCATAAAGATCACTCAGTTCTGGCTCCCCTGCCCTAGGCAGGGACACCTTCCACTAGCCCAGGTTGCTCAAAGCCCCGTCCAACCTGAACACTGCCAGGGAGGGGGCAGCCACAGTCCCTCTGGGCAACCTGCTCCACTGTCTCACCACCCTCACTGTAAAGAATTTCTTCCTTACATCCAGCTAAATCTACCCTCTTTCAGTTTAAAGCCATCCTTGCCCTATCACTACATACCTGTGTAAAAAGTCCCTCTGGCTTTCCTGTAGGCCTCTTTAGGTGCTGGAAGGCCACTATAATGTCTCCTTGGAGCCTTTTCTTCTCTAGTCTGAACAGATGTAGGCCTGGTGTTCCTCTTGTACCGACAATAAATATTTCGGTGATCAGGGGAACCAGTGAAG